AAACAGTAAAAAAGGTGACTAAATGGAATTTGAAATAAAAATGTTGAAAACCTAATATGAAGTTAATAAAGACGACGACAAACAATAATTTGAAGTCACCAATGAAAACTCGGTTTAGAATTGTATCTACGGCAGAATCATTAGGAAGTGTTTTACATATTTTTTTCAAGAAATGCTAATGGCCTTGCCTTGTATCTTCTTTGTTTTGTCTCCACAAATTATCTGCGAAACCCACTTGCTAAACAGCACTCTTGTAAATATTTAAGGGGTTATTATGTTTATAAAAAAATAGAATAAATCTTATAAATTCGCGTAAGACAAAATTTTCACCCTCTACCACTTGACATCAGTAAAACAAAAGTTACCCAGCCTTTTATATATATATATATATATATATATGGCGTGGCGTTTGCAACATTGGCAGTAATATTTCATTTGCATAAAAGCATATTTTAATATATATTTCTTGTGTTATTGATTTTTAATTCAAATTTTAAAAAAAATGCCATTCTTAAGTAATATTTCTATTGATAAAGATTTTATTTTTTTTAAATTCATCGTGTTTGTATAGAAAAAATTTATAACTGCCTTGTCAAAATTCAGTCGTAAGTTAAAAAAAAGCTACAGTAGTTGTCGTTTGCTACTTCACGTTACTACAAATTATTCGAATGGAGACAAAAAACGAAACAAAACAAAAAATACACGCAAATAATCATACAAATAATTAAAAATAATCTGTTTCATTAGATTTTCTTAAAATTGTATTGAATTATTAAAACAAGATTTTTTTTAATCAATTCGCCCCAAACAAGGCGGCAATGCCACTAAGACGCAAGGGGGGGTGGCTACCGGGAGTGAAAAGATTTTAGAAGGAACCGGAAATCCGATCCTAAACAGGGAATAAAGAATAAACCTATACTCCTGTTAAAAAGACCGAGGAGGATTGTGATCTGGACGATAGGCAAACCTATCTACTCCTATTGAGGAGGAGAAAATAATTAGTAAATAAACTTTCAGTGTTCAGACGGAGACGTTAGAAGTATAGGGTTGGAGTAGACTTTAGAAAGAACCGGAAACGTAGTCCTAAACAGGAAAAAAAAAAAGGAATAAACCTCTACTTCTGACGAAGGAGGACGAAGACGAAGGAGGAGTGTGAAGCGGGTGATAGACGAACATATCTACTCCTATTTAGGGAAAAAATAGTAAGTTTGCTGAATTATTTATTATTATTATCATAAACATTACAAAATCATTCAAATGTTTGTCTCAGGGTTAGCTCTATGCAGTTATGTGTAGAGTAGAAAATTTAAGTGGACTCAGCATAATGACAAAAAAACTTTAGAAAATAGACGTCTACCTGAAAATGTTGTTTATACAGACATTTTAGGAGAGATAAGAGAACATTTATAAGTTTATTCTGTTCGTAGGACAGGTATTCGGTTAGTAAGAATAATAAATACAGTCCCTTTCCCTCTATCTATAGAGAATGTTTTAAGACTTTTAATGGATGCTCGGAAACCTTACAGAATATCAAACCTATATATATATATATATATATATATATATATATATATATATATATATATATATATATATATATATATTTGAATTTATAAATTATGCACACAAAAAAAAAAAAGCAATAATTGAATAATTATACTGTGATAAAGTTTATATGAAGGATGATAAATATTCGTTCTTACTGTAGATCTTAGCAACCCTCATAATACGAATTTTGTAACGGCGGGGAAAGTGGAATCACTGAGCCGAGTTCAAGTTTCGGTTGAGTCTGTTGTGTTCACTTCGCACAATACCCTTGGGAAAGGCATGAATCCATCTCTTCTCTTTCGCGTCTATGGAGGGTAGATGAATGACAATCGGTTTAGAAGAAAGACAATTCTAAATTCAAAACCATAGAGAAGGCATGGGGAAACCACGTTCCTAAGAAATCATGACAATGCACAGATTTAAAATAAATAATGTTCACCCAATGAAAGGTTCAAGGGTCATTGAAAGTAGAGGGTTACTGACTGAAGCGTGTGGTGTGAATATAAGAGTAGAAAATAGGACGTGGAGATTATCAGGACATAGACGATAAGTTACGATTGACCCTTGACTTGAAGAGGTTAAGATTGTAGCATTCAGGAAGCATCCTCACGAAAGTCTGTTCCATAATGTAGCAGTTCTTGGAAAAAAGCTGTCTTAGTGGAATTTCCTCGTAACAATTGCTATGCAGGGGGAATGAGGGTGATTCGATTACGTGGACGTAGCATAGCAGGTGTTAGCTGTAAAGTTCTGAACTGGTGAAACTAAAGAATGGACCTCGTCCGAACAATTGCCATGGATATAATGATAGAATAGTGATGGGTTTCTGACGTTGCGTCTGTGAGGAAAGAAGTTGCAGGGTAGAAAATATGTCATCCCCCACAAGGCCGAGTACACAACTTTGTGCTGAGGCATACAAATCTTCGCTTTCTTGCTTAGTCTATCTAGGCTGGAAAGCGAGAATTGGTAAACCTCAGCCCAGATATTGCGGCAGTAATCCATTTTTGGTTTAATCTGACTCTCATAAAGATAAAGCATAGAAGTCTATGGAAAATGCCATCAAAAATTTTCAACTTTTCATAAAAACAAAACCAGATTTCCATTTCTCTGGCGCTTTAGAATCATTATAAATTAAAACGTATGTATTATTGACTCCTTCTGCGTTACAAGAGCCAGATCAGACCGAAAACGGAGTATATATGGCTCAGTATTCCCTTTACAGTCTTGATAGAATTCAAAAGCCTCTCCGTGTCCTTGTGGGTGATGAATTTTTTTCCACCGACAAAACGTTGCAAGTCTCTTCTTGCTCTGTCGCTATTTCCATGGAAGTGTTCAGACGAACAACATCCCTTCGTTCCATCAGTTCTGTGGCATGGCTAAGGCCACCATGCCACACAATTGTAGCCAACCGCTCTCATTCCCTTCGTAATTCAATGATGTGATGGAAGTTCTACTAGAACCGATGCTTTGTCGAACCGATTATCAAGAGCATGCATTCCCGATCACTACAATCTTAACCTGTTCAAGTCTAGGGTCAAGCGTGATCTTCCACACATAAACTCTGCCTCTTTGTCTATAACCCTCCACTGCGAGTGGCTCTTGGGCCTTGTACAAGGTGAATATCACTGTAAGAAACATTCTGGAGATGATCGCATGTAAATGCAATCTTGGAAAACGAATCTCTGGATAAACGGATCACTGTAATCTCCAAGTTGACTATTCTTCTTTTACGTATCGTGTTCCCTCAGGATGTAGGCGATCATGCCCCCCCCACATCTTCCTGTCCTTTGTAGTTTTAAATAAGTCTTTTTGTTATATCTCCCAAACTCTGTTCCACCATCGATTTACTCAAGCTCATCAAGTTGCTTTGAAATGGTTATAATCACTCCCTGACATGCGAGTAAAAAAAAAATAATAATGAAAACATAGATGTTTATCGTTCTAAAATATTTAGACTCAATTTTGTCGTTTCATAAACCTGCAAAACAGTCAGAGATGTGTTTTTAAACTCGCATCCCTACGGATGACTGCAAAGAGATAAAAAAAATACCTATAATTTCCTTATCGTCAGCACTCTCTAGAAAGTTTATTAATATATTATGTCGAATTATCTGTCCGTAAATAACTCGCCCTCTACTTCTTGGCTTCCTTACGATTAATGATGAGTTATGCATTCAAAACGTTTTGCCCAAGGATAGAAGATGCAGCACAGCGACTGTTAACTTACGGAACGAACCTTATTAAATCCCATGAACGATAAAACCAAGAAAATAAAAATAATAAAATAAAATGCGTTGATGAGATAAAAAATATTAACAGTGGAAGTAAAATTAACAACACAAAAATGGATAAAAATAAATAAAAGGAAAATCCAAGATAAAAATAAATGAAAGGAAGATTCAAATACAAGTCAATAATAAATTAGCAAAAGATGGAAATGAAAAAGGAAGAAAAAAAGAAGAAAAACTATGTTCACAAGATAGAGATTTCGTCGGTGGGGAAACATGTATAAAGTCAGAAAAAGAAATAAATAAAAAAAGAGAAGTGAAGGAAAAGAAGAAAGCAAATCTGCGTTCATAAATTAATTGAAGATGGAAAGAATAAAAACAGAATATATATATATATATATATATATATATATATGGCAAAAGTTTTCTTGTGACGCGTTTCGTCCTTTAGGACTTCATCAGAATAAATTTGTTATGTTGATACTACTAAACATAAATGCGTTGTTTTGGTGTAAGGAATATTATTCGTACGATTGGGTCAGTGTCAGCGGCTAGCTAAGTTAAAACTAAGACAGAAGAAGACCGTCCTCTCCCCATTCCCCTATTTCGGCCTTGTGACACATTTATGTTATAAATTGCAGAATAAATATTACTACTAAACATGCGAACGAATTCTTTTTCTTTCATTATTTTGTTGGGAGATATCCCACACAGTGATAATAAACTTTTTCCATTTATATATATATATATATATATATATATATATATATATATATATATATATATATATATATATATATATATAGAGAGAGAGAGAGAGAGAGAGAGAGAGAGAGAGTAGATGGAAAGGCCAAGTGGCAGAAAAAGAAGAAAAATAACGAGAGAAAGAAAAAGAAAATATGTTGATTAGAAGTTTTATTTGTGAAGGAAAATTAATAGAGAAAAATAATGAAATAAAAGAGAGAGAGAAGTAAAGAAAGAAGAAAGAGTTAATAGTAAAGAAAATGGAAAGAAAAAGAAAATAAAAGAAAAGGAGAAAAATGAGGAGAAGAAGGAGAAAAGGAAAATACAAGTGTGTTGATAAAATATTTCATTAATGAAAAAAGAAGGGAAAATTAGGAGAGCGAAAGTGAGCTCTCTCTCTCTCTTTCCTTCTCCTTTGTTTCCTTCTTTTTTAAAGAGAAAATTAATGCAAAAAGAAGAAAGAAAATATGAATAATAAATTATTTAGATACGTATGGCAGAAAAACCAAAAGAATGAATGAGATAAAAATGAACGTGAGAAGAAAAAAAGAAGAAAAAGTGCCAAGATTTTGTCTCTGAACGAGAATTAGTGGAGAAAAAGAAAGAAGTACTAGGGGGGGGGAAGCAAAAAGAAGGGGAGTAAAATAAATTAATATAAGATGAAAAGGAAAAAAGACAGAGAGAGAGAGAGAGAGAGAGAGAGAGAGAGAGAGAGAGAGAGAAAAATAAACAAATGTGTTGATGAGAGGGAGGTTTCGCCTGTGAAAAGTAACAATAAAGAAACTAAAGGAAGAAAATAAAGAAAGCGAAACCAAAAGATTAATAATAAATTGATATGATATAGTAATGGAAAAAGATAGACAGACAGATAGATATACAGAAAGAAAGAATTAAAGAAAGAAAGAAAGAAAGAAAGAAAGAAAGACACCTGTGTGTTGATGTGATAAATGATTAACTTGTAAAGACAAAACTAATAAAAAAACTGGAATTAATAAGAAAAAGAAAGCCATCAAAGATCAAAAGCTTAAAAATAAATGAAATTCACGTACCTTCAATTTCACCACTTCTAAGAACATAGCTGAAAATATCTAAGTAATCGTATTTTTTCATCGACTCAAAATCCTTCTAACAAATTCAAATCCACTTTCTACGTTCCTACATTTTTGGAGCCTCCACTAAACTGCACTTAAATGGCCTCGAAATCACGCGGTTGCAAGCGTAAGCATCATATGACAAATCCACACATTCTTTTATACCTGTGAGAATTTTCTAATTTTCAGGGCCTAACAGAGTCCATTCCATCAGTTCACACAACAACAAAGAAAAATGGGAGCCTGTAAGAGCAGTATATGAAAGGTCTCTCGATTCGGACACATCAAAGGAAGATCAAGTTACCATGTTCTTACTCCAACTGTTCGACCAGCATATTCCTTTTGACTCCGGTGACTTTTGTAAAATTATCATAGTCACTAACGATTAGTGGCATCTAGCTGCTCTACTCCCTTTACACTCCTCTTCTTTGAAAACTTTTACACACAGATACAAACCGAAACCATCAACATTTTCAATCGTAATAAAAAAGGGGTTTTATTTGGAAGAAGTTTAATAAAAAAAAGCTCATTTTATCCTTATTCTTTTTTTAGCACAAAGACGTTTTTATTTAAGAAGTATACCAAAACTATACCTGTTTTTTGTATCCTTTACTTGTGATATAAAAGCTGTTTCATTGTTTTTTTTTATAATACCTGTATCCTCTTGTCTATTCATGCTTTTATTTTCCGAAAGTATTTACTTCTAAGAAACATTGAATCAGCTGAAAACGAATTCCTTCGCTAAAAATAAAAACATAGAAAAAAGTAATTTACATTGATGAGATGCAGAATTAGATCGAACTTAATACAACAATCTGATTTAGAAGCTCATTATAAGCTTCTAAATCAGATTGCTAATCAGTGCTCCAAGACAAAGAACACGAATTTTATTTCTTATGTATACGTTAGCTTGGGGTTAGGCAGCCACTATCGTGCACTCAGTGTGTATCGAATTCACTACATTAATAATAAAATGCTAAACCGAATAATATTTATTTAACGGAGTTTAGTTTTATCCGGTGTTCTTCAAAATGTTACGTATCTATTCCTGTTTATTTATTATTTTTATTTTCACAAGCGAATCATTTATCGAAGCATAGGCATCTTTGTTTCTTTTTTTTCTTTCTTCTTTTGTTTCTTTCTGTACGTCTTTTTTCCTTTCTGTATTCTAACAATTTATTAACTTAATTTTTTTTATCATCTTTTGGCTTTACTCTCTTTCTTTTATTTCCTTCTCTTTCCTTTTTCATTTCCTTTCACAAACGAAATCTCCTCATCAACAAATTTGTTTTTGAAAGAAAGCAGACGTTTTTCCAATTTAGAAAAAAAGTCCTTTGAGGACTCCAAGACAGAGTGGTAGAAGTAAACGAGAGGAAAAAAGACTAATCATCAACTGCAAAAAAAACCAAAAAAAAAAACCCAGAAGTATGGTCATTTGTAAAAGAAAAATTCCAAGATGCGATTTACAAATTACAGAAATTCAAATATCTGGGAAATGTTTTAACAGCGGATGGAAAATGCGACACCGAGATCCGAACAGGCATTCGTCTAGCAAAAGGAGCATTCCAAATTGGCAGTGAATGTTGGGCAATCTCCCCACGAACGAGGCAGCATAAATGTAGTTCCCCAGAAATAAAATTCTATGGACTGAGCGAGTATTCAAGAAAGAAGTTGTAAAGAAAATGGCGACAAAATACACTTATACTCAAAATCAGGAAAAGACAGCTGAAATTTTTTGGACACACAATGAGGAAGAGTGACTTGAAAACTTAACCCTTACTGGGCATAGTAAAAGCAAGAGTGATTGTAGGAGGTAGCGAGCCATTTATTCATATATATATATATGAGTTATATATATATATATATATATATATATATATATATATATATATATATATGTGTGTGTGTGTGTGTGAATAAAGCGCGTATTTGTAAACAGTGACTATTACTGGTAATAATGCAAGACTCTCCAAACGCATTGAGTCCTCTAGGTCTATAATACAGCAAAACAGACTATGGATGACGATATATATTCTTTTTCTTTATTTATTATATATATATATATATATATATATATATATATATATATATATATATATATGTGTGTGTGTATGTATGTATGTGTGTGTGTGTGTGTGCGAATAAAGACAAAAGGAAAAAAATTATTCATATTGTCCTGTTACAGATACACTCTATTAAGAGACACTTGAGATAGTTGTAGAGAGCCATGATTGCCTATGTTCTGAAAGGACGCGATATATAGAAGATGAAGAAGCAGTTAGTACCAGTTTGACTTTGTAAAGAACGTATGCCTACAGGCTTGTATTGGAAGCAGGTTGAGAACTTTCGAAGAAATCGAATACAACATGCAGTTGAGCGAGAGGTCAACAAAACACCTTGTAACACTGTAATGAAAGCAGAAAGCCCGAATAAACTTAAAGATAAACTTTATTCCACTTTAACAATACATGTGGAAAAAATCAGCTGCTTATATCTACAGTCGACTGTTCCATTTTCAACAAGGGTGGAAGAGAGATCTCAATTACTTCTGAATACAACAAACACCAAAGATGAACTGAAGGCAAGGATTATGGCAGCATTGACCAACTTAAACAAAGAGAACATCCAGAAGTGCTGTGGGAGATTCCGAAGTCGTCTGAACGCCGTGGTTGAAGCCAATGGCAATTTCAGTGAATAAATTTACACCTTAGTATTTCAAGATATTTTTATGTAATTTAATTTTGGTAAATATATCTGTTAAAATAAGATGTCAGTGTTATTTTCATTTTTTTTTTTTTTTTGGCTTAATTCAGACGACAATTTATCCATCGCACCCATCTCTCTCTCTCTCTCTCTCTCACACACACACACACACACACACACACACACACACACACACACAGACATGTATATAAGGGTTTTCAGATGACAATGAAAAAAGGGAAGACAACTTTTATATAACCCATGACCCGAAACTGCATAACTTAAGCATTACGGGAAAAAAATAAAACAAAATAATTTTATTTAAAAAAAACCGTGGATAACCACACCCTCAAGGGGTTAGGGAAGAAGCAAAGAAAAAAGAACCTGTCGGTGGGCTTAACTACTAAAGGCTGTACCAAATTACCAAGGTCCATAAAAAGAACAAATCAAACGCACGAATAAAACATTTAGATTTCATGTAACGCAATAAGTATTTTATATTATGTCTTATTTAACTGTTTTTCATTAAGAATTCTGTTTTCGCTGCTCAAATTTAGTCTAGTAAATCTTTATTCTAGACAAAGCCTATACCTATCACTAGCATTTTTACTGCTTTTTTTAAATATAAATTCTCCAATTAATTTTAGGAGACTTAGCTACTTCTCGAGATACGACTAGAGCTATTCCTTTCAAAGGAATTAACGTCGTCAAGCGTTTTTGCTCTATGTCAGTGATACTCAATCTATTTTGCATCCTTTTCGGCATAAGTCCGGATACCATTCCTCCCCTTTCCAAGACTATCTGAATCAAAAGGCGCATTCCAAATAATATACATGTACTATTGAAAATCTTCATTCTTTTCCCTATTAGTACGTATATATTTACATGGATTATTTTTGTCGTGGCACCCCCCTCCCAAAAAAAAAACAAAAAAAAAAAAAATAAATAAAACAAAAAAAACCCAAAAAACAAAAAAAAAAACCCCAAAAACAGAAGGGCTCGCACAAAGAAAACCCAGCGTCACCTCACAGTTTTGCGGACCGATGCACATTGCTCACACCCAAAAATCCTGAATTCCACCTAAGGAGGAATTCCCCACCGATTGAGAACCCCTGGTCTACGTAATCTAGGCATCGAGCACTATACTTTACTGTTCAGGTGTTTGCATTTAGGTCTTTTCTTTTTTATTATTGCTGTCCTTCTCGAGATTTTATCTTGTTTTATATATATATATATATGTCTGTGTGTGTGTGAGTGTGTGTGTGTGTTTTAGATAAAGTATGCCTGTAAAAAAACAATATGAAGAAAGTTTTCCTTTTGTCTTTATTCATATATATATATATATATATATATATATATATATATATATATATATATATATATATATACCTTTATTGCTCTCCTTCTCAAGATTGTAATATATTAAACAAAATTTCTGATAATATAGAAATATATCTATCTATATATATATATATTCATTTGCGAATATTTTTGTGTTTGGTGATTTTAATGCTCATCACATCAAGTGGCGTAAGCATTCTGATATTACCGATGTTGCCGATATTCAGACATTCAATTTTTCCGTTGCTCAGTCTCTCAGTCAAATAGTGAATTTTCCTACTTGTTTCCCTAATAGATCCGATCAAATTCTTTATTTGATTTGTTCCTTTACCTCCTCTCCTGGCTCTTGTCGAGCAGTACAACTCAGTCCTCTTGACAATTTCGATCACGCTTTAGTATATATTGATATTTCTTTTCATCTATTAGAAAGGAACCTCCTATTCACAAGACTTCTTTCTGTGACCAGCGTACTGATTGGGATTTATTTTGTGGCTTTATTCGAGACGTCCCTTGGATTGATATTCTTAACCTTCTAATTGAGAATTGTGCCACAAAGGTTTCTTCGTGAGTTAAAGTCGACATTGATGCGTTTGTACCTTCTTGGAAATACTAAGTGAAGCCACAATCTTCTTGGTTCACACCTGTCTGTTCAGTCACTGTAGCACATAGGAATCACTTTTTCTTTGTGTGCCAGTGTGATAGTTCCGATAACAAGAGACGCCTATTTGTGTCTGCTCGCAATTATAGTAAACGTTGTTCTCAACGAGGCTAAGTTTTTCTTTGCCGATAGAATGAGCCACCGTATATCCTCTAACAAGTTTGATTCATGTGATTA